TTTCCAAACTTGGTGCCATCACTCTTCAATAAAAGGGGAAATGTCAACCCATAAGCTCCTTCAGCTTGTAAATTTTCCTTATCAACTCAGTGCCCGCAGTAATATTACCCCACTGATCACTCCCACCAATTTGTACATTAACACCTTCATTCTTAAAAAGGTATAAAAGGTCATAACCTGCAACAACTGACAAGTAAACTCCGTATAGCTCATCCCTTGTTCTGATTCGAACCTCTTTTTAACACTCTCCTTACTCGTCATACTCCCCACCCTCGCATATGGACCAACTTATTTAAGAAAATCAAGCAACCTAACCTCTTTCCACCAATCATAATTATTTAAAATCACAAAGTTTGACTCTTTTTGAGTACCCAAATTTGCAATTTTATTTAGAATCTTATTTATAATATCCATAATCTCAACAATGTTATTTTCCAATGTTTACAAATCAAGTTCAGGTCTTTCCTGGCTTTTTCCGGAAGGGTCACCTATTCTACCGGTAGCACCACCGATCACGGCAACAGCTTTGTGGCCACATTTTTGGAACCAAGAAAGTACAATGAGCCCCAAAAGGTTTCCCAAATGTAAACTCCCATCAGTCGGGTCAAAACCACAGTAAACTTTAAGAGGAACAGCAGTTTGGTCTGAACAAGCCGACCTAAGATTTTCACTGGTTATCGATTAAGCGATCCCCTTTCTTCAAGTATTTTAACAACATTTGGGGGACTACCCAGTTGAGATTTTGGTTCAAGAGTCGGCTGAGGAGTGTTTAAGCTACAGCTTATGGAAGAAAAACTGAGATTCTTTAAGGGTCTTTTAGAAGAAGGAATAAAATTGGTGGTAGTAAAGGGTAGCAAGAGTTTTCCATAGTGGATGTAAAGGAAAGTCCTTGAAGCCGTATACAATGTTCTGCTTCAATGTAAAAAACCAAAAAAAAAAAAAATTGTAGCTTTAAGTAATAAAAAATGTCATTCTTTGAATATGAAATAATAAATATGAAAAAGCGAAAAACTGAGAAAGCTGACCTGGATCGCGGCTGTGGCTTTTCTCCGAGTCTCAAAGCAGAGAGAATAAGAGAGGAGACGTGGCATTTGGCAGAGAAGGAAGGATAACTAGATAAGCCACCGGCTGGCTTTGCAAGAGTGGGATTTTAGAGCTTAACGGCCCATATATTAGTATTTGGCTTTGCATGCCTAACGCCCAAATTTGAAGGCTGTTTAAAGAAATGTTCGCAACTAACAACAAAAATTCTGTCTAAATACCCAAAAAAAATTGTATGTCTCAATCATTTGACGTTCTTGGTTTACTGGTCAAATAATTACTTCAAATCTAGTATTTTTTACCCAAAAGAAAAAAAATTCCATGCACAACGAAGTCCAATGTATTGATTGCTCATTTGAAATATGGGGTTACTGAATACTTTTAGCTGTGTCCATTCAACATAGAGATATGCTACTTTTCAGCCATAACCAGCCCCGAGTGCTGAACGTTGATGCTTGTTAATTGAATTTACTCTAAATACACCCATTAAAATCGTGGTGTCAATCTACTTGTATTTCCATTAGACTTAAGACAACGAGTCTCCTAATAATTGGAAGCAACTTATTTCACTCGCAAAATTCAATGATACAAGGAGTATTAATTGCAGAAGAGCATAAATTAGGCATTGGAAAAGAGCAAAACCAGAGACCCATCCTCCCTTGACGAAGAAACCCCCGAGTCATCAACTGACCATGATGTCAATCCCAGTTAAGACAATCCATACTGAACTGTCCCCACATTCCTACGGGCAGCTGCAGCACCAACTGCACCAAACTGGGATTGTGCCTGCAGAAGTTTTGCATCAAGGGTGGTCTATCATTTAATTGCTCAGCCTTGGGTTGCGGTTCGTAATAAGGATTGCTGTTCATGTCAACAACCATTCCAGTGACTGGTTTTGCCATCATGCTAAACTGAGGTTGCAGTTTGGCTTGTGGATTCCTGTCAGCCTGTATTCCGGATTTCTCTTGATTTGTGTTGCTAGTCTTGAGGAAACAATGTGGGGAGACATTCTGTGGAGGAAGGACTGCATTTCTGTAAAAAAAATCTTACTCTCGTAAACATCTTTAACATTTTTCTCTTTCTCATATGATATGACAGATCCGACAACTCTCCCTGTTTTTGCTGTACAGAACAAAAGGAGAACAAAATTTTGGATCAGCTACATGGTGAAGCAACAAAGGGACATACATGGCTATAAGCCATAACAAATCTACTCAGCACTGACCTACTATCAATGAACAAAAGTATTTTCACATTTCATGCCAGAGAAAGCCTATGGGATATCAGAGTTTTCAACAATGTGAAACTCTTTTAAAGAGGTCTAGTCCCAATTACCGAAGCGACATATGGCAGACATAGATAGAGGAAGGCCAGAGAAACATGCAAAATAGTTTTTTGCATGACAAATGCTGCTTGACCAAAAGAAAGCTGGCGTAAAAGCAGAACGGAAATCATTCATTCCCGTTGGCACCCTAGGCAGAGGCCATGTTATCTTTGGATTACCAGAAATTGCGTCTGTTACTTTTTTTTAAGCCTCCTGTAATTTGTCGATTCTCACATGAAACCAAAGTTGACTGCGTATTTGGAGGGATAGTATTTGAATGAACTGTAGACTCGAAATAAACAGAATATAAGTTGGAAAATTGTATCTACAAAGAGGGAGAAAAGGTGCTAACTAATTTCTTTGAGTCCATATATCATTCAACTTGGGGAAAATTCATACAAAATGGAGTTGTATCTTTATTTGTGTTTATGTTATGTATGTATGGATTGGAAAGCAGGAGAAAGCAATAGCATAATTAACATTTCTACTTAAAAGTAAATTGTTAATACATTAGAAACTGAATTGTCTGAAACATGTAACACCTTGGAAGGGACACACACTTCCTCTCCAGAGGGAAAACTGGAGCACTTCTACCTCCGTTCTCCTCAAGATATAAAAACTGCTTTCTGAAATGGCACTGTAATAAAAAACCATAACATAATCAAGTGGATTAAGAGCAAAAAGAATACAAGATAAGACACATTAAAATCAATGATAAATACATTAGGTAATTAGAAAGTATTCAAACCTTTGATAGAAAAAATTGGTTCCTTCATTTCCATTTAGATAGTCTTTGAGCAGCTAAGGATGATATTCTAGTATCTCCATGTAAATTAATTCCATAATGTCCACCTTTGGCACCCTTCGCCTCTCTAACTAAAACTCTAATTTTGAGATTGGCTGACAAGAAGCTTCCCTCTCAATTTTAGCCAAGCCTTTGAAGTAAGGATCCAATAATGCCTAGGACATTAATGCAGAAAGTTTCAGTATGATGAACCTAAAAGAACACAAACTCTTGGACACAATATAGACATAAAGAAGAAAGCTCCATTCATTATTGGCTGGATTGCATCTAAAGAATACATATTTATGGCATGAAAAATAAGATAACACACTTCCTCAGCAGTTGGGCGGTCCTTTGGATCAAATGCTAATAGCCTCTAAATAGCCGCACTATTAATGGGTCTCTGCATTTGGAAATTTTCGTGAAAATGGCACATGATGTTTTCTCTGCATTTCTGTTAAGTATTTTCTTGTTTTCTCATTTCGAACCTGCAATTGTGTGAAACAAATATCACGAATTTGCAATCTAGAAAAGAAAAGCAAAATAGCCCCCCAGGGAAAAAAAACACATACACACAAAACAAAGTGAGAGAGAGGTTTCTGGTGAAGGTGTCCCCAAAAGATCGGTGATCAATTCTAATTTATGAACAACACTTTTTCCAGGAAATAGGGGCTTCCCTGTCAATACCTCAGCAAATATGCAGCCGATGCTTCAAATATCAATAGCTGGTGTATACTGCAGACAGTTACCGAAAAAATTAGACTTAACTAAGTAAACTTAAAAGTCAGACCCCAAGTAAAGCAATCTAGAGATATAACCTGACACAATTACCAGAAGGATAGATATTTCAACGTTCAGGAGAGTTCATAGTCCTCCCTGAACAACAATTATTTTAATCTAGGCATTACTGCTTCCTAAAAAGCAGTCAAGTATTCTTTATATATATATATATATATATGTATATATATATATTATAATGTGTCGATTTGCTAAGTATGACATATATAGCTCAAATGAGACATGGTAACTCGATAAGTGTACTCCAATACGCAGTAATATATCCATAATTGAATTAAATAAAACATTAAAAACCAAATGATATAACAAAAATAAAAGGTCTATAAAAATTGAACCCAAAAAAATCTGACGCGTTGAACTTGTACGTGAGGTAGAAGATGCTATGGTTTGACCTTGACTTCAAGTAGCAGATAGCCAGACAGCAAATCTGTGCCAAGCTTTTGGTCCATGATACCATATAACAAGCTTCCACAAATTGCCAATTACTTTAGAGGAAAAGAACTAAGGCCACATGTGACAGAAAAGCCATACTTTAGAAAAGAAAGATCCACACAGCTCTGAGCCCTGTCCCATCGTGCACCAACATAGTCCTGCAAGGAACATCAGAAAATAACATATAAAGTATAAACATATGTATCCACTATTTTTTAAGAGGAAAAAAATATGAAGGTATGGAAAAAAAAAAAAATCTACATACCGTCCAAAAGACTGGTTGCCACTAAATGTGACTCTTGCTAGCCCAAAGTCACAAACTTTAAGCTTACAATTTGCATTTGCCAGTATATTCTTTGGTTTAAGGTCACGATAGCTGCAACCAATAACTTATCAATCAGTATAAATTTGAAATTACTTCAAGCACCCAATCCCAACCTATTTTCTCTCAATTAAATCATGCAAAGATATCACTGCTAGGTAATAATAAGAGTGAATTTGGAGCAAAGGGTGATAGAGAGAATTGGGTAAATATATTAAATAAATGATCCTATACCATGGGTATTCACTTCAAAAGAGGGATAGGATGACAAATAATATGATTCATCGTCCTTAGTATAAGATGACTCAATCTTGTGTAAAAAGGGGAGGATTATTTAATCGTATGCGACAGGATTGTAGTATCCTCCATTCATTTTTTTTCTTTCATATTTCCCACCCCCCTTAAAAGTTGAAAATTTCATTTAAAATTTGTACTTGGCATAGCATAGAGAGGGGTATTTAGACCAATGACAAAAAATCATCCTACTTGACATCTAATGGTATCTACACCAAACATTACATAGAAGAAAAATTATCTCATTCTGCTCTGCTATCTTGCTCACAGCAGACATTGGACAGGATGATGTCATCTACATTCTTATATTATCCTATCATCTCCATCATCTTAAGCACTAAATTCACCCAAAAAGTTGATAATACAAACTCAAAGCCCCACAAAATCTGCATCCAAACATATCAAAAAGGATAAAAGGGGAAGGGACCTCAAAGCTTGAGCATGTAAGCGCCAGAGACAAGAAGCAATTATCAATGTTCAGTGACTGCTGGTGGAATTTAGTTGACAAATATACATGGTTAACAATTGGAGAACATAAAAATAAGAACTGTAATAATTAAGATGAGCAAGGTAAGCATGGTTAATAAAAACAATCAACCAAGTAGAAGTAGACATTATGCAAGTAACTATGGAAGTGATCAAGTATATGGATAACAGCAAGTGATTTTTCCGTGGACTTGTTAGGACAAGTAAACATTCTGATATTGCGTAGAATCAAAATCAGATATATATTCAATAGGAATTAAAGCACGGCCTGACTGAAAATCAGCCAACAGTTTATACTCAACCAACACTGTATAGTTTTGGCGAAAATACACATAAATGTGATCCATACTTGCAAACCCAGAATATCACTGGTTACAAATTTAGAAACAAACAAGCAGATCAAGAAATTGGAAGCTCAAGTGCACCTATGAATTGATCTGGGTCTATCCTAATAGGAAACTGAAATTTCAAGCAATTAAAGAACCACAAAAATAAGTATTAGTTTACCTGGCTAATTAACTAGCCTAGACTGTTGGTGATAGTATTGAGGTGAAACTTACATTCAACTATGCTTTTGCAGTTTTTCACTTCAATGGTGAAACATCTCCTGGTTCTTCCCTGTATGGAGGCAGTGAGGTAGGTTGAGTTCTAGACCATCTTATATATTGTTTTGAGGGACTTGTATCATATATTTCCTGAATTGTAGTAGAACACAGTTAATTATGTCAAAATAGCAGATTTTTTTTCCAACTCAAATAATGGACAGATTCTATTTAAAGCTTATGAATGAAATTTCGCTGCTTCCATGCATGTAATATATGAGAGTGATCTTTTATTTAACTTGTTGAGGCCACTTTTGATGCCATCATATTAAAGAACAGCAAAAGGAGTAGAAAGAACGTGAGAGTAAAGAGTGTTAGGTGGATAAATACCTGTTTTTTTGCATGCACAGTTAATGTTGAATCGACAGTGAAATTTGTTGTCATCTGGGAACATCCTTCAATCTTTAAGAAGCACAAAGATGGGAATACCAAATGATAACCCACAGGACCGAAGCTCACTAGGCGTGGCAATGTTACAAGATCCACCTCTTGTAATCGACTCAACATCAACAATTCCTTCTCACTTTTAACACCCGTTTCATCTTGGTCATGACCTTTTGATGATGATGCCGAAATGTTATCATTCCCAATTATTTGCTCCAGATTATCACATCGGAGTATTCGTAGAAAGGTCAATTGTGGAAAATTTTGAATAAGCATTATTGGGAAGATACATGTCAATTTACTGCAGTTGTCTACTTCCAATTTTCTAAGATTGGTTACAACTTGTATGAGACCCTTCCATATATCTCGTAGCCAAATCAGATTAACAAGCCTCATTTTCTCTAAACTTGAGATGAAGTATCCACCTCGAAGCTGAAATAGTTGTTCAAACTTCCCCACATTTATGTATTCCAAATTTGGTGATCTTTGTCTCAATTGGGTGTTGCACAACTCAACATCATTTTTAAATTCAAAACAGATAACCAACTCCTGTGTAAAAGAAAGAGCAGGCGTTACTCTATATATATATTTTGATCTCAATTAATTTATGTATACTATCATATTGATTTTTTATTTTCAATTGTATGTGGAATCATGTAAAATTCATTATTAACAAGTTTCATAAAGAAAAAAAGAACAAATTATGTCGAAGTAAGGCTTATAATAAATTGTGTGATTGAAGCATAATACAAACAAAGCTATATATAAGTTCATTACAAATGTTAAGCATCAGTAAAAAAAAAAAAAGCCAGATGATATGAATTCAAATCATATACATCATTTTGGTGATATAATCATCAAGGAGCAAAAGTAAATTTCTCAAAATATATATATATATATATATATATAAAACGTGACCATCTTTTAAGTTAGAAAAGTTTAAGAGACATATAAGGGAGATGAATGACACCGGAGTGTCTACATATCATACAACTTAGGCTGAGACTAAGGTAGATTTATCCAAAATAAGATGGGCAACTTGAGTTGAGACTAAGGCAGACTTATCAAAAAAAAAGATAGGCTTATTCTTGGTCCAAAACCACACATAAATAAGGTAAGCTAAAATAGGGAGATTGCGTTCACACTAACTAGAAAAGAAGATCATGAATATGAATGGGATTGTGGTCAGGTTCAGGAGTAAATGAGCAGATTATGCTCACATGCAAATCTCATGATTTTAGGCGTGATTCTAGCAATGCAATCTGAAAGTTTCCATGCTTAGAGGGATGTTCCTACCCTATATATTTTCTATTATTTTTTAGTAAAAAGCAAACTAGAGTTTTCTTTGTACTTAAGCAATCTCTTAGATTATTCTTCAAGTTCTATATCTCTTAGATAGATTTCCTAGAGTGGTGAACTTTTATTATTTTGTATCATTGATTAGAATTCTTAGGGTGATGTTTCTATATCCTTTAGTTTCTAGTCCTGGTGGTGAACTTTTATCCTTTTAATCCAATAATCATATTTAGTCATTATTCAAATTATTGTGAGTTATCTTCCTTGTGAGCTTTTATGTTTGCAGTTAATCTCAACATCTCAAACATCAATTTTCGGCATCAAATTGGTATCAGAGCTATGGTCAGTCATCATCGTCAAGCACCAACAGAAGAGGTTGAAGCCAACACCGATGTTGCAGCAACTACCAATGTTGACCCAAAGGATGCCCTCATAGAGGAGATGCGGCAACAAATCCTTCAACTACAATATCGACTACATATACAAGAAGAGAGAAAGGAGATAAGGAGGCAACAAAGGAAAAACAAAGAAAATGAAGGAGAAACCAATCCATTCCATGAAAACAACAATGATTCTGATGATAGCACCTATCTCACCTACGGCAAGTTCGAGACTGTATGCACAGAAATCAACTTCAACCTAGCTTATTCAATCTGAAGATAGAAATTCTTGAGTTTGAGGGGAAAATGTAACCTAAAGAATTCTTAGATTAGCTACACACGGTGGAACGTATATTTGAATACCATGATGCCCTTGAACATCGCAAGGTGAAGTTAGTGGCCATCACACTTAAAAAGCATGCATCCTTTTGGTGGAAAATCTGAAGAAGCAAAGGGAAAGAGAAGGCAGGAGAAAAATTACAACTTGGGAAAAGATGAAAAAAGAGTTGAAGAGAAAGTATCTCCCAAACAAATTTCGGCAAGATGTTTTCCTTAGGCTCCATAACTTGAAACAAAGATCTCTCAATGAAGGAGTATACGGTTGAGTTTGACCACCTCATGTTAAAGTGTGAATTGATAGAATAGGAGCAGACTATTGCCTAGTATCTTGGAGGATTGAAGATTGAAATAGCTAATGTGGTGCAACTTCAACCCTATTGGACTTTCAATGATGTATGCAAGCTTGCCCTAAAGGTGAAGAGACAACAAAAGGAGGCCCGTGGTAGTAACTTGAGATTTGGGTCCCGATAAGGCTATATCAATAAAGGTGGCTCATCCAAAACTATTGTTCCTTCTCAGCCCATTCCAAAGTAGCCCCAAAAGAAAGATGGGACCTCAACAAACAAGCCTTAGTCTAGTGCACAAACCAGGAGGTGTTTTAAATGTCAAGGGCTTGGACACATTGCCTCATAATGCCCAAACAGGAAGATTGTGACTCTAGTAGAGGAAGACTTGGAGGAAAATAAAGAGGAACTGGCTGAAGAGGATCAAAACTTTGAAAAGGAGGAAGAGGTAACATATGGTAATTGTGTAGCATCCTTAGTCATACAATGCAGTTTGAGTACCACACCTGTTGAGAAAGAAGATTGGTTGCGTAAAAACATGTTCCACACTTGATGTACTGCCTATGGGAAGGTATGTAATGTTATAATTGATAGTGGAAGTTTTAGAAAACGTTTTTTCTACCTTTATGGTGTAGAAATTATGCCTCAAAGTAGTGGATCACCTCTAACCATATAAGTTGTCTTGGCTGCAGAAAGAGAATGAAATCAAGTTAGCAAGAGGTGTTTGGTTTCTTTTTCCATAGGAAAGAAATATAAAGATGAAGTGTGGTGTGATGTAGCTCCAATGGATGCTTGTCATTTACTACTCGAAAGACCTTGGCATTATGATAGAAGGGTTATTTATGATGGTTGCCGCAATACTTACACATTTGTGAATGATACATGCAAAATCATCCTAGACCCTACCAAACCCATGGTGATGTCAAAACCAACCAAAGGGGAAGGAAGCAGCTTGTTTACCAAGGCTAATTACAGAAAGAAAATTAAAATGGGTGGTACTATGTATGCACTGGTGTTAATTGAGAAGAATAAAGACAATGAGGAGCCCCCTGTAGTGATACAACCATTATTGGCAGAATTTCAAGATGTTGTTCAAGAGGAGTTACCAGTTGGTCTACCACCAATGAGGGACATTCAACACAGCATAGAGCTTATCCTAGGAGTTGTTCTACCTAACAAGGTAGCCTATAGAATGAGTCCTAAAGAGCATGCGGAGTTGCAACGCCAAGTTGATGAATTGGTGAGAAAATGAATGGTGCATGAAAGCATGAGCCCTTGTGCAATCCTAGCCTTTTGGTGCCTAAGAAGGATAGATCGTGGTGCATGTGTGTGGATAGTAGGGCAATCAACAAAATCACAGTTGACTATTGCTTTCCTATTCGCAATTAGATGACTTGCCAGACCAACTACATGGAGCAACTATTTTCTCCAAGATAGACCTACGCAGTGGTTATCATCAAATTAGAATGAGGCCTGGAGATAAGTAAAAACCAGCCTTCAAGACAAGGGATGATCTCTATGAATGGATGGTAATGCCTTTTGATTTATCCAATGCTCCTAGTACTTTCATGAGATTTATGAATCATATCTTTAAACCTTGTATTGGCAGATATGTAGTAGTATATTTTGATGATATTCTGGTGTACAGCAAGGATGAGAATCAACACTTGAATCATCTACATCAACTGTTTTGCATATTGAGGGAACAAAAACTTTATGCTAACCTTAAAAAGTGCAGCTTCTTTACTTCCAGCCTTGTGTTCCTAGGGTTTGTGGTGTCAAAGAAAGTAATAAAGATGGATCCCAGCAAGGTTGAGGCAATTTTAAATTGGCCAACACCAGCATCTCTGCATGATATCCGAAGTTTCCATGGTCTAGTGCTTCATTATGAGTCTTAGCTCAATTGTGACCCCTATCACTGTTGCATCTTTTTATAGGCGCTTCATTAGGAGTTTTAGCTCAATTGCGGCCCTTATCACTGAATGTTTGAAGAATGAAGTTTTTAAGTGGACCAAAGAAGCCCAACATAGCTTTGAGCTCATCAAGACCAGGATCACTGAAGCTCCCATCTTGTCCTTACCAGATTTTGATCAAGTGTTCGAGGTGGAATGTGATGCATCCAATTCTGGAATAGGTGCTGTTTTAAGTCAAGGAGGAAAGCCTATGGCATTTTTTAGTGAGAAGCTCAATGAAGCCAATAGGAAGTATTCAACCTATGACAAAGAATTCTATGCCATATATAGAGCTTTATTCCATTGGAGTCGGTATCTTCTTCCCAAGCCATTTGTCCTATATTCAGACCATGAGGCCTTGAAGTTTATCAATAACTAGCACAAGCTCAATCGAAGGCATGTAGCTTGGATGGAGTTTTTTCAAGCCTACAACTTCCTATCAAACACAAATTAGGAACCCAGAATGTGGTGGCAGATGCTTTGAGTCGAAAGCACTCCTTATTGGGGATTATGGTTGTTGAAGTTATTAGATTTGAGGTGATCAAAGGGCTCTATGAGATAGATCCTTACTTAGGCTGAATTTGGGAAGAATGCAAGCAAGAACCACACCATCAGTTTTTGTTACATGATGGATATCTCTTCAAGGCTAACAGCCTTTGCATTCCCTCATGTTCCTTGAGACAAGCCTTAATCAATGAGGCTCATGATGGTGCACTGGGTAGACACTTTGGAAGAGACAAGACACTTGCTCTTTTGCAGGACGAATTTTATTGGCCGAGAATGGAGAGGGATGTGATGAAACACATTGAACAATGTAGAGTGTGCCACATTGCCAAGAGTCATGGTCAAAACATTGGATTGTATACTCCATTGCTCGTGTCAAATGCTCTTTGAAAGGATGTTAGTTTGGACTTTGTGGTTGGACTACCCATAACTCAAAGGAACAAAGACTCTATCATGGTGGTTATGGATTATTTTTCCAAGATGGCCCATTTCGTTCCTTGTAAAAAAACTATAGATGCTTCTCATGTTTCTGATCAATATTTCAAGGAAATTGTGAGGTTACATGAAGTTCCTAGATCCATGGTGTCCGATTGGGATTCTAGGTTTCTTAGCCATTTTTTACGCACCTTTTGAAGGAAGCTTGACACCAATCTCAAGTAAAGTTCCTCCTATCATCCTTAAATAGATGGTCAAACAAAAGTAACCAACCGTAGCTAGGGCAACCTTCTAAGAAGTTATGTAAGAAAGAATATCAAGCAGTGGGATCTTGTTTTACCTCAAGTAGAGTTTGTCTACAACTGCTCACCAAGCCAATTACTGATTTATCACCCTACCATAGAGGGAATGCTAGTTCAGATTTGAGGACAAGTCTTTTTCAATCAGAAGAAATTGACAACGGAGTGTCTGCACATCATACAACTTGGGCTAAGACTAAGGCAGACTTATTCAAAAATAAGATGGGCCTAGCCTTGATCCAAATCCACATATAAATAAGGTGGGCTGGAATAGGGAGATTGCGTTTGCACTAACTAGAAAAGAAGATCATGAATATGAATGAGATTGTGGTCAGGTTCAGGAGTAAAGGCGTAGATTATGTTCACATGCAAATCTTATGATTTTAGGCATGATTCTAGCAATGCAATCTGAAAGTTTTCATGCTTAGTGGGATGTTCATAGCCTATATATTTTCTGCTATTTTTTGGTAAAAGGAATACCAGTGTTTTCTTTATACTTAAGCAATCTTTTAGATTATTTTTCAAGTTTTGTATCTCTTAGGTGAATTTCCTAGAGTGGTGAACTTTTATTATTCTTAATCCTTGATTAGAATTCTTAGGATAATGTTTCTGTATCTCTTAGTTTCTAATCTTGGTGGTGAACTTTTATCTTTTTTAATCTAATAATCATATTCTGTCATTATTCAAATTATTGTGAGTTATCTTCTTTGTGAGTTTTTTTGTTTGCAGTTAATCTCAACGTCTCAAACATCAATTTCTGGCATCAATGAACAACTCACATTTGGCAAAATCTACTAATGGATTAAATGAAATACAAAGATTAATCAACGATAACGAACCATGGCAGTGAATTTTTTAGAAGGATTTAACAACTATGAACTATTTGTCCTTTAGCCGGCAACCATTTCTCCCATCGATTGATTTTTTGTTTTATTTTCTAGCAGATTCAATATTGATTTTTGATACAAAAGATATTGTATTTTGAGAATAGAAAAAAAGAATTATAATTGTTGTGATAATAGTAGGACAGTGTAAAACAAATATTAATTTTTTTTTGGTATATAAGATGGAGATCTTGAATTAAAAGCAAAACCTCTATATTGTCATAAAAGCTTATTTACCGTTAAGCTAAGAAACTGAGGACAAGCAAATATTAATTTAAACATTATGGTGGTGCTCCTAATTTTGCTAAATGCAATTACATAACATAACAACAGTACGATAATGTAGAGTGCAAAATCATTTAATTAATGAAGAAGTATTTCAAATAATTTATCTTCTAAAATTTAAACAAAAAAGAAAAGAAAAGAAAAGAAAAGAGTAAAAGAATTACTACTTACCTTTAATTGAATAGGCTTGTCAACTTCTTGTTGAATGGTAAAATTTGTCAATGGAGGACAGTCGATAACATCTACTTTTTTCAAAGCAGGCAGTTTGACAAAATAGTTTTCTGCAACAAAACCATTCAAATTTGTTAATTTACGAAATTTTAGGTTTTGCAGACAAGGAAAACCTTGAGCCAAAGTGTTTGGAAAAACATATTCTAGTCTTGGGCATCCAGTTATATCCAGAGTTTTCAAGTTTGGCAAGCACAGAGTGTCTGATTCTGTTTGATCATCATCACTTTCTAACTCCAGGAAAACATGCTCCAATTTATCACAATAACCAATCACTAGTTCTTCTAGAAGCCTTAGGGTTTGAACGATGGAGGCTGAGAAGAGAGATTTCAATTCGTTGCATCTTCTTATATTTACAATCTTCAGACTTCGGAGGCTAACGTAATGGGCGGGACCTTTTAATATCCATTTCAATTCTGGCAGATACCATACCCTCAAAAAGTCTAAATTTGACAGTAATGGTGCTTGATTTTCTTCCCTGTTATAAAGAAACTCATCGATTCGAAATATCTCTTGCAACCTTCCATTTTGTTCAACTGTCAGCTTTTTTAGATTTCGTTCCATGGGAGATAAAGAGACAATATCCTTGCATCCTCTGACCGTCAAGATTTCTAGGTTTCGTAGGAAACCCTTCGGAGGCTGGCCCTTGCACAACATTTCCAAACCAATCATGTTTTCCATGACTAATTCCACCAAATTAGTGAATATTCCACTTGTTGGGACATGCTCGTTTGTTGAATCAACCAAGCATTCAAGATCCTTGCAATCCATAAGTTTAAGGGTTGTTAACCCTTCTAGATCTGCATCTGCAACGAGATTTTTGTGATCCATATTAATTCTGCTGAGAGTAAGATCTTCTGTTTTGCATAACGACTCTTTGAATACGGACAATCGAACTCCCTGATCATAGTTCATCACATAAATTAAAATTGTAAAATCATTCACTAGTAAAAACACACGGCAAAAAAAAAGTGGAGTCAATTTCATATCTAGCTAATATTAAAATTGATCGGAATTAGATCACTGATTCAAATGTACGACTGGATCTGATTACTATGATATAAACACCACAGCTACGAAACTTTTCCTTTTTCCAGCAACCATTTCCCACCAAAAAGGATCCTTTATTGATTTTTTTTTTTAAAAAAGATTTTGTTAATATATACTCCTATTGAACATGCAATTAACTATTTACATATAAAATGAGGTAAAGAAAACTTTCGATGAATCTTAACTAGCTAGAGATAAATATAGAAACTTTAATTTTATTTTCAAAGAAATAAAAGAATTCACTTGCCCTTGCATTTTGTTGGAAAAAAGAAAAAAAAAAACACTCATACTTCCTCCTTCTCAACTATTGCTTTCTTTTTTTAATTTTCAAACAATCATTAATTATTTTTTAAAATATCCCTTTACAATTTTGAAAGGAGTAGTTTTTCAAACATTTATTTATTATAATTAAATTATATAAAATATTTAAAATAATTTGCGTCAAAATTAAAAAAATTTTATATTAATAAAAAAACTAAAATGGTATTTATTACGAGATAACCGAAAATCATTCTAAATTCAACGTAATAGATATGAAATTCAAGAGACACTTCAAAATCTACTCAATAAATATCTACATTATTATGACAATCAAATAAAAAGAAAAAGATTAAAAGAAATAGTACCTTTAAGTCAACCCGCTTGTTAAGTTTTTGAATGGAAAAGTTGGTGAATCGAGGACACTCAGAAACTCTTAAATTTTCCAAAATAGGCGCTTCAAAAAAATAGTTTTGAGGACCAAAACTGCTCAAGTTTGTTAACCTATCAAGTTGTAGATGCTTTAGACATCGGAGCATAATACCATGTTCAACTCCATCTTGTTCTTTTGCCTCGATGTAGAAGACTTGCTCTAATTGAGGACACTCACTTACCGAAACCGATTCTAGTTTAGGAAGACCTGGAGAAAAAGAGGTTTGAAATACCACTTGCAACTTCCTACAATCTCGTACAACCAGTTGCTGCATATTTTGTAATTTTCCTGTAGGAGACAAAGAGACAATATCCCTGCAATTTTCAACTTTCAAAATTTTTAAATTTTGCAGGAAACCTTGTGGAGGCTGACCCTTGCATAATATTTTCAAACCAACCATATCATTTATAACTAATTCGACCAAATCAGTGAATGCAGAAGTTGGCACCTTCATTGTTGTCGTATCAACCAAGCATTCGAGATCCTCGCAATATTCCAGTAGAAGGGAAGTTAATCCACATAGTCCCTCTCCGTTTGCATCTGGAACCAGATTATGACTTCCCACCCTACTTCTCCGGAGAATAAGTTCTTTTGTATTGCTGAATAATTCCTTGAATGCTGATAACCGAACCTCCTGATTATAATTCATCACACAAGTAAAAAACATTATATCAATTAATAATACTAATACTAACAAACTATACATTAATTGATTATATATGTGTTGTAGAGCAAACCCTGTTGCTTTCTTTCAAGTCGTCTGAAATGATTACAATAATTATTGCAAAAGTGCCAAAAGAAATAATTGCAGAAGGTGCTAGAATTTTAACATAGCTAGAGCCTACTTGCAAAACTTTTTTTACACTGCTACACACCTTCACATATATATTACACTTGAATAATGTAATCACCTATTTTCATGTTTTATTCTAGGGATTTAAATGAAATGTATTAAATTTTTTACGGACTACAATAAAATTTTGAAAATACATGAGCTTTGCACATATATTTTTTAATTATTTATACTTGAATTAAAATATAAAATATTAAAATGTACCAAAAAATATTATATTTAATATTTGTAACAATATAAAAATCAAAATTTATAATCTATACCTTACATCAATGACATATTATAATTTTATCCCCAAATTAATTTAAGGGGTAATTATGGTAGTAACATATTTTCTCACTCTCCACAAAATGAAAAGGAAAAACATAGAAAAGCTTTCCTTTTCTCAACCTCATTAAATAGGTCCATTGGTCTATTCTTTAAGCTACCTATAAATATAAGAACTTTGTCAAAAAAAATATATATCAATTCAAAGTGAGTGAACCATTATAAATAATCTTAATTAATTTATTGATGTTTGTGTGTTAATGTTTATATATTTTTATATATTTATTATAATTATTATTTTTTGTTTATACATATATGTATATATTTTGTTATTTGTAAGAATCCACTTACGACAGTATAAATTTTATATTTTTTTATCTTTAAAAGAAAAATAAATTTATGATTAATATCAATCGAATAATATTTTTAATCTTAATCATTTTAATTTAAAAGTAAAAAAAATGTTAAACTTATACTAATAGAAATGGATTCCTCTCTTTTTGTTATTGATATATCTATATTTTATTTATTATTTATTATTTATATATTACATACATTTTTTAAAATAAGAAGTGCAAAACCTATGCTCCGCACATGGAAATGCGAAATTTCATCTAGTTACAATTAAAACAAACCCCATACATTTTCCTCAACAATTGAATGCCAATTGAATTGAAGGGGTACCATAGCAAGTCAATTGATTGCCACACGTCAACCTAATTAAATAACCACTTCATTATCACATCGACTTAATTAAATACCAATTAATTACAAACTCAACCCAAATTAATGCCAATTGATAGCCAGCTCAGCTTAATTTTATTGACGCTTGACACCTTATTTGGCAACCTGATTAGTTTTTAGCCTAATGGATCTATGCATGCAATACCATAAATCTCAAAAGAATAAAATAAAACAAACAAAATTCTTTCAAAAAAAAAAAACCTCAAAAATTTGAAAAAAAGTAATTAAAAATTCAAAATTTTTGGAAATATCATCTCCCAAAATTAAAACATACTAACAAAAAAAATCCAAAAAAGGTCCATGCAATGATCCAAAAATCAAAAAAGAAAAAAAAAACACACATACACATGTAAATCTATATCTTTAAATATAAAAAAGAGTTTGAATCTAATCCCAAAAAAATCTTTGGAAAAAGAGAAGCCTAAATAGAAATCTATCAAAAAAAAAAAACCTTACTAAAAGAATCAAAACCTTTAAAAACCCTAAAAAAAAAGAAATCAGCCTCATTCCTAAAGGCATGCAAAACAATAATAACCAACATATCCGATAGACAAGAGCAATAGACAAGTATATATCTAAAATAAATAAATAAATAAATAACTAGCAGGATTTTAAATAACGGTGGTGCAAGCTATATAATGGCACTATTTCGTGATAACATTATATTTTGCAACCATTATTAGAAAAAAGTGAGGGAGAATTTCAATCTCAACCGTAGCGGCTCATCGCAACCGTTACAAAACAACATATCGGATATTAGTGGGCTATTAGGTTTTCAATCTAAACATGTCAAGAATTTTTTTTTTTTTTTATTTACATTGTGCAAAATTGATTCGAGAGAAACCCAAAAACCAAAAAAAGCTCTAACTCAATTCACACACTCAAATTCAGAATTTCAGCTTTATTCATCAACATCAAGCAGCGCAACAAAGTAATTGATTGGAATTTGGAAGGTAAGCAACTTAAAATTACGAATGTTTTTGTTGGTTCTGTTGCTCTTGAATATTTCGGTCTTCAATCGACTGCCTGACCATCAATTTCATAACTCTACAGCTAGAGAGCAAGGGCTAGTGGGCTGCTTGGCTTGTTGGCCGTTGGGTGCCTAAGCCTAAAAGTTGAACTGTTGTTTAGAGGAAGGTGAGAGGCTTCAAGCTTGTGTCGACTTGAATTTATGGATTTGGGGGTTTTATGTGTTTGGGTCTGAGATGAGATGAAAGAGACAACAACATAGAGAAGAAAGTAAAGAAGTGAGAAGAGAGGAAGAAGAAGAGTGAAAAATGATAAAGGTTGAGGTCGTGAAGGACTGAAGGGCTAGGGGATGAGGGGAAAAAAAGGAAGAGTGAAATGTGTGGTTTGTTGGATTGTAAACCCAATTATATTGGGTTAGTCACTTGTCTTTTATTTTTCTAGTAGCACATTTACTTTACACTTTGAGTGGGACCCTTTTTGTGTTCTATAGTTAGGCCCACTATAATGTAGATGAAGTAAATGCTAGAATGAATATAGGGGCTGAAAAAACAGTAGAGAAGTTAGGGTGTTATACGTGAAAAAGGAAGGAAGAAAGATGGATTTTTTGTCTTTGTGAGAAAAATGCAAACTTTTGTGTAAGCTATCTCTTACTCTACTAAATGAATATCTTTGATGCATTTGAAGTAAAGAACATATTGTTTTGTTTGTTATTTACAAACTTGAAAGTTAGCTATACTTAATAGTTAGTTATATGGTTATTTGAACTTTAAGCTTAGTTGATTGGAGATAATTTTTTGTGTGAAACTTGTGCTGAAAATTTGTGTATGATTGTGGTGAAAAGTTGTGATTTTGGTGGTTCATTGAAGCTTGGGTTATTATGTTTCAAGAAGTTTATTGCATGCCAAGTGTTTGTGAAAATGTCTTTTAGGGCCTTCCTTCCAACAAAAGTGGTATCATAGCTTGTGGTTTGTTAGTGTTGAATCCTTGGTGAAGCTTACTAAACTTGGGTTTTTCATTTGCGATTTTTATTGGTGTGGTGATTTGTAGTGGGTTTTGGTGAAGTTGGCATAATGATGGCTAACAACTTTGTGCAACCCCAAATTCCTATGTTAGGCAAGAACAATTATGATAATTGAAGTATACAAATGAATGTGTTGTTAAAGTCTCAAGACTTACGAGAGATTGTTCACAAGGGGTTTGAGGAACCTAGCGAAGCGGAGGAAGAGAGACTAGCGAAGGCTCAAAAGTCTACTCTTAAAGATGTGAGGAAGAAACATAAGAAAGCTTTATTTGTGCTCTAGCAAACAATTGATAAGTCAGACTTTGAGAAGATTTCGACAGTGACAACTTCTAAGAAGTCAAAAGATATCCTCAAGGATTCACATAGAGGGATTGACAAGGTCATGAAGGTTCGTCTACAAGTGTTAAGGGGTGAGTTTGATGCTATATACATGAATGAGATTGAGACCATTTCAAAGTACTTTGGAAGAGTGTTGGCTATTGTGAATGAGATGAGGAGGAATGGTGAGAAACTTGGTGATCTCCCAATTTTGAAAAAGATTCTTTGATCTTTAACTCCGAAGTTTGAGCAAATAGTGGTGATTGTTGAAGAAGCAAAGGACTTGGAGGACATGAAAGTTGATGAATTGATGGGAACATTGGAAGTACATGAACAAAGGTTGAACAAGAAAATGACTAGCCATTGACCAAGCCCTTCACACTAAGCTTAATTTGGATGAAGATAGAAAAGAAGTTGGTGCTTAAGGTACTCAAAGAGAAAGAGGTAGAGGTTATAGAGGCCGTGGTAGAAGTAATGCAAATAGAGGTCATCACTATGAAGATGGTGGTAGAGGTTATGATGATAAAAAAAAGGCTTTATAAGTAGAGGTAGAGTAAGAGGTGGACGACATCAATCATGGCATGTTCCAAGAGGAAGAGGTAGAAATGATGGCAACTTTAACAACTTTCCAAACCGGCAAGGTTATGACAAAAGAACGTTCAATGCTATAATGGCTATAAATATGGGCTTTATAGTAATAAATGTTAGGGAAAGCAAGGTGCTGAAGTTGATGAGCAAGCAAACTACGTTGAGAAGGATTATGGTGATGCGGATCCTACTTTGTTGTTCACTTCTAATAGGACTATTGTTGATGAAAGCAACACTTGGTATCTTGATAATGCGATTAGCAACCATATGACCGGAAACAAGAATGTCTCTGTTGAGTTGAATGAAGTAGTGAAAGGCAATGTCACTTTTGGAGGTGAATCCAAAGTTTGAGTGGAAGGAAAAGGTAACATTCTCCTCAAGCTCAAGAATGGTTCTCATAATTTTGTTTCTGATGTTTACTATATTCCTTTTTTGAACACAAAAATTTTGAGTTTGGTATAACTTTTAGAGAAAGGTTATGTAATACATATGGAGAATGGTCTTTTCACTATAAAAGATGGGAATGGGAAGTTGATTACTATTGTGAAGATTTCAAATAGAATGTTTCACCTGAATTTGCAATATGATAAAATTCATTACTTGAGTTTTATTATGCAAAATGAGTCTAGGTTGTGGCACTTGAGGTTTGGGTATTTTAATTTTGATGGCTTGAGAGCTTTGGCAAGTAAGAATATGGTGAAAGGGTTGCCTTATATTAGTCATCCAAATCAAATTTGTGAAGGGTGCATTTTTGGCAAACCACATAGGATAAGTTTTGGCAATGAAGGCAGGTGGAGAATAACTAGACCTTTGGAGCTTGTGCATATCAGCATTTGTAGTGCTTTGAAACCAATCTCAAGTGGACGGAATAGAT